GGAAGGCAGGCAGGCAGGCAGGCAGGCAGGCAGGCAGGCAGGCAGGCAGGCAGGCAGGCCTGATCACCCCATGAGAGCAAGGTTTTGCCGGCTCCGTCTTTTGCTCCTGGGGAGCAAGACGGTCCTTGTAACCCCCACTGCCCAGGCCAGCTCACCAAGCCTACCTCTGTTCCGTGAGTATGTCAAGGATGTTTTCTGCCAGCCAGATGTTCTTTGAGGTCACATCTCCACCTGCAAGCAGAGAAAAAGCAAGAAATGAAGTCTCTGCCGGAAAGATGCTGCTGGCTCCCATCTGGAATTTGGCTAAGTTGCCCGCTGCAACTTGGACGCCCCACATGGCTTGACTTCCAGGACAAATGCAGGGGTGTGCAAAACACTTTGAATTTGAAACATTTCAAGCCGAAAGCGTTCTTCACAGCTCAGAACAGGGAATTTCCAACCATTCTGGATTTTGGGGAACCATCAAGTCTGAAAAGATTCAGAACCAAAATGTTTTGCATGCCCTAAGAGAAAGGGCCCAAAATTCTGGATGCCATCCCCGCTGAGAACTTCATTCCAGTTTGTGAAAGTCACACTGGAAAGTAACTGAACAACTCATGTGAAGGAAGATCAGATCGCTTGGAAATCAAAAGGGAAGATGCTCATCAACAGCCTGGCTTGATTCAAGCCGGCATCCGATGTGGGAAAAAGCCACTGTCGATTGGCGCGGTCCGTGTTTTGAAGGCTGCTGAGAAACCGGCCACGTCACAGAAAGTTGAAAGACTAAAGGAACATTTGCTCCTTTATCCTATGAGAGTCAGGATGTCCCCAGGAAAGAGAGATGCGGGCCCCTGCTGGCAAGATTGCCCTCTTCCGACACGCACAAGAACAGCACTGGGCACCACACCACATCAGGCCCCAGAGGTGAAACCGGACACTCCAAATTTCAAAGGCACCGGGTGGCTGGAGGAATCCGACAGCAAGCCAATCATTGCTTGTTTGATTTTAAAGGAAAGTCAAACCTTCCTGACCGGGGAGTTGGGTAGCCTATAAATTGAATAAATTATTCCTCCTCCTCCTCCTCTTCCTCCCCCCCAGAGGGGAGATCAGGATACCACCCAGCCTGAGAATAAGCAAGGCCAGGATCAAGTCTTCGAATCAGTTTCACCTCTCTACATTGGAGGCTCAGCGTTCCTCGCCAAGCTATGGGGGCTGCACCCAGCATCTCCCCCAAGACACCCACCTGCGATCTGCTTCATGAACGTCATGCAAATCCCGTCGATGCCGAGAATCCCGCTCCTGACCATCTCGCGCAGCAGCCAAACCAGCTGAAGGGAAGAGAAATCACTCTGCCGTGGCTGTCAGGACGGACCGCGTGCCTAGCGATGACCCCGTATTCACGCCAGGCCGCAGCCGTGCCACTGGGCCAGAACTATAGAGGCCTAAGCAAAAACTAGGTTGTTCTGAAACCGAAACCCCAACGCATCTTTTGTGTCGCAAAAGAGATTGTATCTCAGGGGCCACACTGGACCACCCCAATGGCCTGGTTCTTCTTTCCCAACTTTATAGGCCCTTTCCCGATCTTGAAAAAACCTCCTTAAACTTCCTTAAGCCCGAACCCATCTTTTCCACAATTCATCCCAGATCTCGACGGAAGGTGAAGAATGTCACAGAAGGGACAAAACTGGAAGGCATTTCTCACTTTGTGTCCGCCCAGACTCGCTTTGTGTCAGATGGGCGGCTACATAAACACGATAAATAAATAAATAAAAAATTTCTCCCATTTCCAAAGCGGGCTCCGTCAGCCGCAGAAGTCCAGAAGGGCCTCCAAGAGTGCTCTTCTTGAGGTCAAAGCCACTTCTGGGCATGCTCTGCCCCTGCCCCCCCACCCCCACTTTTAAGCGCCCGGAGAAACCCGCCCAGATGTACGCTACCCACCTGAGTACGACAGGTGTCTTGCAGTTTTAGGTATTTCTCCATGAGGATCTGGTTCATCTTGTTCAACACAGTATTCAACCCATCTCGGCTCACCAACGCCAGGTCTCGGTAACACTGCGGAAAAAGAAGAAAAAAGAAGACGGAAAGAGAAATGCTGTTACAGCAGAAGGAAAGGAACAATAGGGGTCTTTTTAGAGGACACCAACCTGTAACAATTAGTTGAAGGGCGATGGATGAATTCATGAAAATGTATGTATGTATGTATGTATTAAATTTGTCCCCCGCCCATCTCCCCCCAATGGGGGACTCTGGGCGGTTCACAACACATTAAAACAATAAATAAATATACAATAAATAAATAATAATAATAATGCCAATAAGAGGAATAACAGTCTTTCTGCTTGGAGAGAGAGAAAAAGGAGCAGGAAAAACAGGGCGGGATGAAAGCAGCTGCTGGATTCTGCTTCTCTTCTCTCTTTACTGTCTGGTTCACACGGACTGGAAAACCGGAAGCCTGCAAGAAGCCTCAGAGGCCACCGCGCAGAACAGAAGAACCACAAGAAATGGGCTTTTGGAAGCCACGAGACACGAAGCAGGCAGCAGCAGCAGCAGCAGCAGACTGCTGGGAATCAGCTTCTCCAAAATGCACCACGGTGTAGCTGCCCCGAATGACTCCTGCTCCCTCTGGTGGGGTGGGAGGTAGAAAGCTAGAGATGGGTTGATGATTGGAGGAATGCACGGGTAGACAGTCCCACCTGGTGGGTTAGTTGGTTAGAGAGATGAATAGGATGGATAGATTGATTGATGCCTGCCTGGTTGGCTGGTAGAAAGATAGAGATGGGGGATGACAGGATGGACGGATAGAGATTCCCACCTAGTTGGTTGGGGGGTAGGTAGGTAGGTAGGTAGATGACTGATTGATGGATAGATAGGCATTGATTAATTGAATGATTGATTGATTCTCATTTGGTTAGTTGGTTGGGAAAGAGAGATGGATGAATGGATGGATATTGCCACTTTATATCGGTACATAAACCGACAGATAGACAGACAGATGTCAATATGTTGGAAGAGAGCTTGAAAATTTGGGCAGGGGAAGGGGGAGAAATGGCTCTTGCCTTTGCCCTGATGCAACTGAAATGTCAGCATGCAGGAAAGGAGGAGGAGGAGGAGAAGTGGCGGGGGGGGGGACCCACTGGCTGGCTGGCTTCTCCATTAATGCTAATTTGTGTCACTAAATGTCACTCCACGCCGGAAAAGCAAGGTTGAATGTTCCATATTCCCCTTCGAGAGGTTAACGAGCTTCTGGAAGAAGCTTTTGATTAAATTCCTGCCCTGCAGAGACCTGGTCCAAACCAGGGAGCAGCTGTGCTTAGCCTCTGGAAATGTTAAAAGCCCAGCTCCGAATCCTAAACGGATCCTACTGGGCATCCGGAAGAAGGCCATTCTCCCTTTGAACCGCCGGAAGTTCCAGCAACTTCTTCAGCCACTTAAAGAAGGCGCAGTTGGAAAAGACGGCAGGAGGCACAGAGATGGGCAGATAGGGAGAGGTGGGGCGATGCTTCACCGTTCCCTCCAGCAGAGGGGAAAAACACGCCCGCCGTGACCCCCAAACAGGTGGATTGAAAGGCAAGGCTAAACACACTTTGGATTTTATCAAGGTGAAAAGAGAACCGATTGCAGACCGTCCTTTCTCCATCCGTGGGCAAAACGAACAGGTTATAAAAGGGGAATCGTGTCCCCTGCGACCACAGTCACAAGATGGGTTACCCAGTCCGCCCTGAGCCCTGGGGGCTACGCATTGCACAAATGTTCCAGCTTATTTCAAGTCGGTTGATTTGTTTTTAGGCGGCTTGCTGCATTTGGCATGCCCAGAAAACGGGCTGGATCCATCGCCGCCGTGCAAACCCAGCCCTTTGGAAGCGTGAGCGAGCAGATTTGCACAGCCCAGCAGGGTAAATGTGTACTTATGGAGCCCGGGTTTAAAATCTGTGGGAGGTTAGCAGCTCTGGGAGAGGGCAGCAAGAAGGGAGCTGAGCTGCCAGCATAACCCCTTTCATTAGCTGGAAAATACGACTGCCTGACGGACGTGTCATTTAGAGGAAAAAATCAGGGTGAAACAGCTACGGATCGCTCACTCAAGAAATGCCAGAGAAACAGCCAATTCGAGCAAAAGAGTATAAGATAAAAACTTAGGAAGGGGCTTTTTTGGGGGGGGAGGAAGAGGAAGAGGAGGAAACTCCCTCCCTCTGTTGCAAAGAACTTTCATTGAAACCAAAATCCAACCCCGAATCCTCTGGGTTAAGAGGAGGAGGTTGCCAGGCCTCCAAAAGCTGGGTTAGGCACGCTTCCACCACATGCAAAATGGGAGCACCCCTGCTTCCTTTCGTTCATGCCCTTAAAAGACTAAGGAAGTTGTAAAATTAAAGGGAATTGGACGGGGGGTGGATTTGATTAGGGCCCTCCGCCCTCTGCACCAAGGTTTCAGTCTCTGTACCGTTTGCTTCCACAGGAAGAGAATCAGAAGCCCACGTGCCTCCCCCCAGTAGGGACCTTTCCCATCTCTTCCTACCCCCTATCCCCCACCCACAGATCTCTTTGCCTGAGATGGAGCTGCGGTGGAGGAATGCGATCTTGCAATGCCCCACAGGGGAAATGGGGGCCGTGTGCTAAACCTGAACAAATCCGAACAAAGGTCTTACTTTCTGAGCTTGAGCAGGCTCCATCAGGATCATGGTGAAAAGCCCCAGGCAGACCTCCTCGTGCTGTGGGGCTCCTTTGCACACCTGGAGGAGCAAGAAAGAAAGATCACACCACAGCCTGCGCTCAGAGGTGGAGGAGGGGGAGGCAAAGGGCTCGGATAAGGAGCTACGAGGCTTTTCAAGCGCTTCCTGACAAAATGTGATGGAGAGCCATGTTCTCTGAAGGTGAGAGGAGAATGCTGCCTTTCTAGATCAGGGAGGGCCACTCTGCACCTTTCGGAGCCTCTGGGAATGCTTTGCCCCACTTCCGTGGGACTCTATTGTCCCTGACTGGCTGGAGGTGTCCCTAAAGCAGCTGCCAGGAGACCAGTTCTCAACAATACAGGGTAATACTCAACAGCACCATTCAGAGGCCAAGCTTCTAATGTTCTGCACCAAGGCAGCAGATTAAGGTCAGAAAGCAGACCTTAATCTGCTGCGATCTGGCCAGGGTGGAAAGGAAGTCAGCCAACAAGTATTTTCCAGAAGTACACGAAGAACATCTATCCAAACTCAAGTTGGCTCAAGGTCACTGACACGACGCCATCCATCAAAGGAAGAGCCCACCCTGCTTTTTCCCAACCTGTTTCATTTCCATTCCCCCTTGAAATCCTGAACCTCTGGAGAAGACCCAGGAGGAGATCCAAGGCGAAGGAGCCAAAGACACTTACGTGCGCATTGAGGGCGTCGTTGGCTTCCCGCTCGGAGACCCCGCCGGTCAGGGAGGTCACTGTGCCCGCGCATCTTTCGAGCCTCTGAAAGGGAAGAAAGGAAAACACGGGGCCGATTTAAAGGAAAGGCGAGCCACTCCTTGTCCAGAAGATGTTCAAGTGATGGACCAAGAGTGTCCTTGGAAGCTTCTCCTCCTCCAAATCGAGCTTCACCCCTTGGTAAAAGACATGGAAGAGGGTGGCCAGTCCTGTACCAGCATACTGATGGGTTTAAAGTATCTTGCAATTTAGGATGGGGATGGGGGGCTTCTAACCACCATTAGGGAAGACAGAATAACCTGGGGAGGGGGGGATTATTCTGCTATCCCTTCTCTCAACCACCCATGCAGAAAAAGCTGTGGGGAGGCACTGACATGATACACAATAGCTTGGACAGACTCGTTCTCTCTAATCAGCGACTTTAATCAGAGCGACCGTCAGTCAACCGTTGGGGGGAAAGTTTGCTGTGCCGATGGAAGATGCTGGAATCCCAGGAAGGGGTCCAACTTTCTCTGCTCAGCTTCTCCAAAACTCATCTGGGGCCTTGAATTGCTGTTCCCATCTGTACCTTCAGAATATCTTATTCAGAGTATTCAAATGTACCTCCCTTCTTATAGCTATCTCTCTATTGAAGCACTTAAAACAGTTAAAACATTGCCTTCTTTGGCTCCAAAGAAAGCAAGCCCAGAGCCCTCCAAATATTTTTGCTGAACTACAACTCCCAAGATCCCCCCCCATTGGCTATGCCAGCTGGTGCTGCTGGGAGTTGCAGTTCAGCAAATCAGGAGAGCTTACAGGGTCCCCTCTCCTGGCAGGTCAAGGCCTTCCAGATGCACGGAGCCAAAACATACAGCGTTGGAGAGAACGGGGCCCACCGCAGGAAAACATCTGCTTCTGCTTCATTAGCAAAACATTATCCAGAGGTCACCTGCTTAAGTTGGGTTAAGCCCTTGGAGGCACACCATTTTTTTATTCAAGCTGCAGAACGGTCAACAAGAGGTAGAGAAAAGATTCGTTACTCTCCAGCCACGTCATGGTCGCCAAGAGAATTAGGAAGGCCTTAGAAAGGAGTTAATTGGGAGACTGTCATGTTGGCTCGCGCCCGAGCGCCAAGCAGATGTTTTGGACTTCAAGGCTCATCAGCCCTTCCGGGGCGATCAGTATCATAGCAATGCGGGAGTTTTTAATCCAGGAGGCCTTGCTAGGCCAAATACAAAATTCTGACAGCACCACCACTGCGAGAGGAAGGTAAATGCTTCTCTGGTGGCACTTCAAGGTTTCCACCCCTCAGAAGTTCCAACAGCCTTGATGAGAAACATGAGCTGAATGCCAAAATAAGCCCCAATCTCCAGAGACTCTAAGGCCAAGTCAACATCTAGAAGAATTTCAGGGGCAGCAAAATAAACTTCTTTCTTTCTTTCTTTCTTTCTTTCTTTCTTTCTTTCTTTCTTTCTTTCTTTCTTTCTTTCTTT